TATATATATATATTATACAGGAAAGTATATTACATTTATTTATTTATTATTTTTTAATTATAATTTTATTTTTTACTAATTGCACATATTGGTTAGCTGACAAGTAAATCTTAGAATTCAAATTCAGGTTAGTTCACTATTAAATTGATTGGATAGTGATTGATCAGTCTGCACAAAGAATCGTGCACAATAACACCAGGACAGTGTATTACATAATCAAATGGGGCCAGTTTTCATTGTGACTTTTCCAGACAGATCTGGATGTCTACTGTTAAATGTGTTCAGCTTTGTTCCTCCTCTCTTTCTGGATCGAAGGTCATTGGCCACAGTAACTTCAGCTCCATCAGAGCCACCACATGTGCTTACAAAGGTAGCGTTTCAAAAACTAAACCGCACCATATAGTGAAATGCTAATTCTGTGGTGTTCTTCGTACCTTGGAGTAATTGTAAACTAAATGACTATACCATGGTACCAACACAGTACTGTTTCTGACTGCTTTTGATTGGTTTTAGGGAAATGGGTCTACGAAGTTCTCATCTCATCTCAAGGCCTAATGCAAATCGGATGGTGCACATTGAACTGCAGATTCAACCAAGAGGTACAAGCCAGTAACTTCACCATTTAGATGTCAATTTTTGGAGTGCAGAGCCGTGCAAACTGCATATTCACTCTAATAGTTAGCTAGCTCTCATGGGAAGCTTTCCAAGCCACATAAATAGCATAGATTAATCTAGATTACATGACGACTGTTCGCTCTGCTCTCGAAATCCTTTTTGAAGTCTTGGGTTTGGCCTAATCCATCTGTGAGATTGGTTTGTTCAAGTCGATTACTGCCAGATACGATCGGCTGTGGATCTGTGCTTGTGTTCAGGAAGGAGTCGGGGACACGCCGGACTCGTACGCTTACGACGGAAACAGAGTCCGCAAATGGAACGTGACAACCACCAACTACGGCAAGGTGAAAACACAGCGCTTCACACATTCAGTTCAGCGGTCAGGCTCAATTTGTGCTTGTGAATTTTATTTGACATTGAGCGTTTGTTTAAAGTCTCGGACTGTGACGTAACTTGCACAGTCTTATAAAAAAAGTTCTGACTCTTAATTCTGATTGGATGAGTCATGTTTTTATGAAAGCATTAAGCCACTCAAGGCCATACATAGTAGTGATTTTATTGGTAATTATAAAGCCTCTCGTTACTGATTCTTGTCATTTCTTTTGCTTTAGTCCTGGGCTGCTGGTGATATCGTCAGCTGCTTGATAGATTTGGATGAGGGAACCATTATGTTTTGTCTGTAAGTGTAGTTTTATCATTGGATGTACGTTATAATTTGGTATGAAAGCATGAGAAACTGAAATATCTGTCAACTGGTGTTAATAGCAGTATTTTTTTGTTTTTGTTTTCAGTAATGGACAGTCTCTCGGTGTTGCGTTCAGCAATATTAAGGCGGGGCCGGGCGTCGCATATTTCCCTGCGATCAGCCTTTCCTTCAAAGAATCTGTAGCCTTCAATTTCGGCAGCCGTCCTCTCAGATATCCTTATTATTTTTATGCATGTACATACAGATTTTATATGGTTAAATCACATTTATGTAATGTGTATAATATTCATTTTAATTTATTATACAATGTACAAACATAAAATAATTAATCTTGTAGGTCTTCAGAATAAATGAAGTACATATATTATACATTACAGTTTTATATAAACACACACACACACACACACACACATATAATATTATTAATATTATTACACTTAATATTATTTAAGATTTTCAAGTGCTTACATTTATGTATTAATTTATTTAAAATGCACCTGTATGCATATATATATTATATACTTTATTTTAATAATTAATATATTGCAACAGAGCTTGACTTCCAAATACAGCATAGAACTGTAATATGTGTAATTATATATTTTTTAAATATATTGAAGAATAATGTAATTACCCAATATTTCCAAATACGACTTGAAACACATTTATTCATAGGATTCAGAATAAAAGTAGATGTATATATAAAATTGTAATATTTCATTGTTTTATTTATTAATAATATAAAATGTAATTGCCCAATATTTCCAAATACGACTTGAAACTTACATTTATTCATAGGATTTCAGAATAAAAGTAGATGTATATATAAAATTGTAATATTTCATTGTTTTATTTATTAATAATATAATGTAATATATTTATTATAAATACATTGTTTATGTTTTTATAATATATTTTTTAATTGAATAATAATATATTTATTTCAATGTGTTCCTCACATACCCTGTGGAAGGTTACCTTCCTCTTCAAAGCCCACCAACCACTGACCTCATCAACGCCAACAGGCTTCTGGGATACCTCAAGACAGTCCTGTCCACCTCCATCGACACACAGGTGCCTACAGGGGCTTCACTCTGACCACATGGCGTGCTGCTTCAGATTAGTGTGATGCATCAATATTTAAAACAAAATGATCTCTATGAGAAGACGTTTGATTTTGTTTTTCGTCAGGAGGAAAAGCTTGTGGAGAGAGACAGTGGAACCTGGCAGATTCAAGGAGATCCCACCATCCTGGTCACACTTGCACATATATTCAACCACTTTGCACCTCTCATGGTAAATCACTCAGAGTTTCAGGAAAACAACTGTCATTGTTTCATAACCCGCTTTATTCATGGCTAATGTGTGTGTCTGCTAGTGCAAAGTGTACTTAGTGGAGGATGTGCTGATGAACTTCCTGTTGAGTATATTGGAGGGTGGAGGATCTGTCGAAGAACATCCTCTTATACAACAGCTGCTGGACCTTTTCTGGCTTCTCATGGAGGTACAGACTCAAAAAGTTCAATTTAAAGGCATTTTCTGGAATGAGATTTGAGACGATGCGTTTCATTCTTCCGAGATTGTATTTTGTTTTCTCCTCCTGAAGGACCACGAGGTGAGCGAGTGTCTGAAGCAGCTGATGATGTCTCTGCTGAGAGCTTATCGTTTCTCTCCCATCATCCCTGATCTGGGCTTTCAGGTGAGAAACCCTATGATTGCTCTCTCATGCAAATCCATTTTCCAAACTGTTGTAACGTTATGTCGAAGTTTATTGGTGCTGAGGACGATTGAGCCGCTGACAGGAAGGAATAAAGAAAACATTCTTTCTGAGGAGCCTATAGGAGCATGCTGGGAACTCGTACTTCAAAGCATGTTCACGCTTTACGTCTGCTTTTGTGTCTAATCAGAGGCTGAGAGGTGTTGACGTCCTCTTGGCCCATTGATGTTCATGGCAATTATCAGCAGGGACACGGTCTGTGTGCCCGTCCCACTTGAAATAAATGTCTTGTTATAATTAAAATGACTGAGGCACTTTGTTTCGAGCTTGCTGTAATGCGTTTGATGAGTTTGTTTGATGTCCACAGTTGTGAGAGGGAATTGGCAACATGTTGATCCAAATTATTACTGTGGCAGCCAGTGCTTAACAGATGGGAGCTTTCTTGAAATCTGTTTTCTTTCTCTGTCCTCCAGATTCATTACCTTCGTCTGACCACAGCGATACTCCGGCATGAGAAGTCCAGGAAGTACCTGCTCAGCAACGTCCTATATCCTCTTTATTTATAACTTAGCAGGCTTTTATAAGACACTTTACGCTATCTTTTGAAAATCACTCTAGAAAGGCACAAAATGAAAGAATGTATTCTTCATAGTTAATACATTTTAGCATTCTTGAGATCATTGCTTGCTGAACTTCACGATAGATAGGTGGATAGGTGGATGGATGGATAGATAGATAGATAGATAGATAGATAGATAGACAGATGGATAGACGGATGGA